ATCCCAGTTCCTTGCTCCCCTCTGATTAGTGAAAGAAACCAATTTTCTCTCTAACCTAAATATTATATTCTCCTTGTCTCTGGTTCTGCCTCCAGATCTAGAGGAAATAGTCAGTGACAGTTTGTTTGAACTGGCAGAGGGACAAGCTGCCCCATGAGTTTTATCTTCTAAAGGGGTCTGAGCAGAGGGAGCCAATGCAGGGTTAGGTTTCTGCCCTCCGGGTTGTATCAGTGTTCATGTCCACCGCTCGTTGTTTTGTCTCTGCTGTGATGCTCTAGCCCTTGGTATTTGGAAAAGGTTGGGAAAGTGTGGGTGCTTTTCTTCTGACGGGTTGGGTAAGCCTCACTGCAGAGTAGTCACCTTCTGCACGCGACCTGTGTCCTTCTCCCCTCGGCCTTCTTCAGGACCCCCTTGCAGCATCAATATCATTTAGCAAGCATCCACCATGGGCCAGCTCTGTGCCAAGTCATTTACTAAGATCCCTGCATTCTCACATTCAAGCCTCACTGTGTAGTTTCCAGAGGAGGAAACAGAAGCTTGAACCAATCCAGTTGCCTTTCCAGGTTCATCCAGCAAGTTAAATGGTCAAGCCAGGATTCCAACCCTGGCCCCTCACACTCAATTACACTCAAATTGTCTCTGCTAATGTGTTCTTCTTCCCAGAAAAAGAAAAAACCAAGGTGCAGAAGCAGAGGGAAGATGAGCTCATCCAGAAGATCCACAAACTGGTGCAGAAGAGAGACTTCCTGGTGGACGACGCAGAGGTTGAACGGTTAAGGTAAGTGGGCAGCGTGTCCCCTGGGCGCGGGGCTGGGGCTGTTAGAATGCAGCTCAGCTTCCTTCCAAAGCCTGTCATCTGCTCCCAGACTCACAGCTCTGCAACGGGCATGGCCTGGCCAAATGCTTCCCAAACACTAGATCCTGATGAATCCTTCTGGTCTGAGGCCCCATGGCCTATTTAAGAGAAACTTAAATCAAGCTCCAAAAAGTTTTGCAAAGGCCTGTGGATCTTAAGTGAATGTCATCTGAGGTGACCAGGGAGGAATTACATCACAGAGCACATGGAAGCACTTCCTACACCTTCTTTTTACTGAGTTTTCTCCCACCTCGTCAAGGCACCTTTTCCAGAAACTTCTATTCGTTTCTACAGAAACTCTGCCCTCTGTCCTAACTTGCTTCCTCACCCACCCTCCCCACTTCCCAGCTCTGTTCTCTCCCTTCCTGTCTCCTGGGGGCCTCTGATGCCCCTCCCTAGCCTTCAGGGTCTCCTATTTGCAGATGCCCCTGCGCCGTTGATCTGGTCAACCATGGGCCCTGGAGCTGCAGTGCACTTGAAGCCTCCGCAGGGGACCAGAGGGCACGAAAGATGCCAATGTTGATTCTCGAATTTTTTTGTGCTGGAGCAAAGCTGGAGTCATCCACAGGGGAGAGGCTCAAAGGGCCCCTTCCAAACCAGAGGACAACTTCCCTTTAATTCTCTGTGACCTCCCGAGTCCTCCAAGGCTGCTAGGATGCACTTTGCCCAGCTCAGCCAGGCTCGGACCATTGGCTTTGCTTATGGTGACCCTTGGGAGAGCTGAGATGGCTTGCCTTCTGAGACATGCCACATTCTTTGTCTAGGGTAACTTAAAGGTGCAGGATCAGGAGAGGGATTGCCCAGCTCACTAAATCTCTGGCAGGGAGGCTGGGTCCTGTAACACCCTGGCCTCTGCTCTAGGGTCTCACACCAGTGGGCGTGGGCATTTACTCCATCAGTGATAGGTGTTTCTGCTTCAGAGAAGATTCATCAAACAACACACACCCACCCACTGTACACACATAATAACATGTGCATACCACCCACACACAAAACATAACACACATGTACCACCCACATGTAACACACATGTACCATCTACACATATCACATGCACCAGCCACACACAATAGACATCAGCATATATGCACCACCCACATATAACACACAGCAACATACACGCACCATCCATAAAGTCTGATACATGATCCCACACTCTTGCCTCATTTTATCAGTTCCTTGATGCTCTCCTAGCTTACTGTTCTTTCCTGTCTTTACGCATCTGTCTTCACAGGGAGCAAGAAGAAGATAAGGAAATGGCCGATTTTCTGAGAATCAAGTTAAAACCTCTAGACAAAGTAACCAAATCTTCAGCCAGTGAGTGCATACATTATTCCTTCTCCTCCCACATCCAAGAGAAAGGGAAATTTAAATGAGGTCTGGAAACCAAGGGGACACAACAAAAATGCTTTCTAGAGATCAAACTTGAGCAGAGGATGGCAGCAGGCAGGGCCAGCTTCACGGGTGAGGAAGCCCAGGGCCCCACGCCTAGAAGGGCACTGTGCTTGCTTTCATGTCCTACTATTGCTGTCTCGGAAGTCTTAAGAATTTTCCAGCAAGAGGCCCTGCTCTTTCATTTTGCACTGAGTCCTGCAAACGGTGTAGCTAGTGCTGGTAGCTAGTCCTTGCTCATACGATTTGGTGCATTTCATAGAAGGAGTTGGGTGGCCCCTGAGGCAAGAAGGTGGGAACTAAGGCTCAGGAAGCTCTGGCCCCTGTTGGAGTTGGAATCGCTGGAGGAACGAAGGCAGAAGTTTGCTTCTCAGAATACCAGCCTCACAAGATACTCAGAGCATAGAGGGTTCTGGGTGAAACAAGTCTGGGAAATGCTGTGCACTTGACTACTCTTTGTAGGCTTCCAATACCCATTAGCATATTAAAGTGATAACCAGTCCTGCTGGATAGGAACTGCCTTCTCCTCGTTGGTCCAGTGAGACCACTTTGAGTTACAAGAAATGGGTGCCCGAGTCAAACTGGCCCTGGCAATAAAAGGTGATTTGCTGGAGAAACAGCAGGGGGAGCCAGGGCTTCAGGGACTGGACACCCTTGCTTTTCTTCTGGTTATCCACTTGGCACCTCTTGTCATGTTAGCTTCATTTCCTCCTCCTACACAGGCCTTCCTGGGGCCAGAAATCCAGGACCATAACTTAGCAGAAGCAAGGCAACAACTGGTATCTAAATGTGTAAGATTCTGACCAGCCTTTCTTGGATCACATTCCCACCTGCTAGGCCCATCACTCTCACGAAGGGGCTGGGAAGTTGTGATTTTCTGGATCTGGGTTACATGCCCACCCCTATAGCCACAGGGGCATGAACTGTTATCAGAGGCAGAGCGATGGACAGTCTTGTTGCGAAGACAAAACCTAGATGCTGCCACTACCAACTGAAGCCACAAACCCAGTTTTTCCCTAACTATCCATTAGCAACATTCCATGAAAACACATTTGTACTGTGTGAAGGAATAAAGAAAGAGAAGGGCCCTGGTCCTTCTGCAGACCCTTAACATCACAAGGCACATGGTTTTTGCCTAAATCCAGCATCTTCAATAGACTTGTCTCTTCCATGAAAGGCAAATTAGAGAAACTTCACCTAACAGTGTGGAAAAGGAAACAAGTGAGGAAACTTGTCTTCTGTGTAAGATTATGGACAGAAAAAAAGAGTCCCGGCCAGAAATCAAAACACCAAGCCTGTACCACATGCAAGTGTTGGGTCCAAATATACATCATCCATGTGGGCTGGAATCCCAAGATGAAAAATTAAAACTAATCTAAAACCAGTGAAATCTCTGGAACCCCAGCAAAGCAAATGTAAAGTTGCTCAACTGAGACCCCTCAGCTCCCATAACACAGCCCACAGATTAAAAACAACTCCCGTGTAGATGATCTCTCAATAAAAAATTTAAAACCAATGAAGAATGGAAACACCATGAAAGGAGTCCATAGATGCAACAAAAGAGAATGTCTGTCCTCCAGAAATAAGAGAATATCTAAAAGAGATAATAAGTGGGTTTACAATGACTAAAGAGATAAGAGAAGGAATAATACTCAAAATGAAATAGCAAGATGCTATGAAAAAAAGAAGAGGTAAATTAGCAAACAGTCTTCTAAAAAATTACTGTCTGAGGAATTCCCCGATGGTCCAGGGGCTAGGACTTTGTGTTGTCACTGCCAAGGGCCCAGCTTCAGTCACTGACTGCAGAACTAAAATTCCACAAGCTGGCTAGCAAAAAAAGAAAAAAAAGAAATTAGTGTCACTGAAGTGAAAACTCAATGGATTAAACACAAAGACACAGCTGAAGGGAGGATTCATATAATTGGAAGACAGAACTGAGGAAATTACCCCAGAATGAAGCACCAAGAGGCAAACAGATGGGAAATGTGAAAGTGAAGTTATGAAGCATGGAATAATAAGAATAATAAGGTTAAACTGACATCTAAGAGGCATTCCAGAGGGAGCGAGAACGGAGAATGACAGGCGATGTGTGAGCATTTTCCAGAACTGAAAGGTAGCCCTCTGATGGAAGTGGCAGACCCGGTGCTGGGCTTGGCAGATAACAACGGTGAGGAGAACAGAACAGGAGAAAGGCTAAAAGCTGTAGTTAGAAGCCAAGGCCTGAAAGCCGCTGGACCTCCAGGGAGGTGGGAACCGTCACCAGGACCATATAAAATGCATGTCAGCTCCCCAGACTTCACCTGTGTGGCCTTGGGGCGGGGCCTGGCCGGGGTTGGGGTGGACCTGCGGCTGCAGATGGTCAGGGCTCTCCTCACCTCACTTCTTCTCTCCTGTTTCCCCTCCCTGCCCCTCTCCCCCCCCCCCCAACCTTGCTGCAGGCTCCCGGGCAGAGAAGAAAGCAGAGCCCCCGCCTAGCAAGCCCACGGTGGCCAAGACGGGGCTGGCACTCATCAAGGATTGCTGTGGGGCCGCGCAGTGCAGCATCATGTAGCCCTCACGCGGGGTGCCCCCGGGGCCACGGGGACCCCCTCCCACCCTCTTGTCTTCAGAGCCCCCATTTCACCGGGGCCCAAGAGCTCTCCAAGGCAGAAGGGGTTGAAGGCAAGCCCGTGACCGCCGCCAAGAGCCCAGCCACCCTGTACAGAGTGTAGCGATAGGGAGTCCCTCACCGTCGCATGGCCCTCCCCAGAGCATGCCGAACCCAGGAGTCTGTCTCCCTGTTTATCCAACCACCAGGAAAGGTCCTCCCTTGAAAAAAGTATTATCTCCACTTCTAGCTAGCTGTATCTCACTCACCATGCGAATGAACTGGGAGAGGGGGCATGACCCCCAGGTGTGTACAGTTGTGACTTTACAGCAGTCCGGCCCCACGCTGGACGCTTCCCCTAGCTGCTCTCCTAGCTCTGCTGCCAGGCTGCCCCAGACGGTCCTGCCCCCCCCCCCCCACCCCCATTCTCTTTCCTCTCCCAGGGGTTTGGGCCCTGGAGGGCTCCACGCAGTGTCTGTGGAGACGCAGAGGGCCCATCTGCAAAGACTGAGCTTGTGTGTGGTCGTCGTCACGTCTCCCGCTCCCTCCCCTCCGGTGTCTGGGCGCGGCTTACATCAGGACTGCGTCTGTCCGCTCTTGGTTCTTCCTTGTTCCGGGTGTGTGGGGGTGGGCCCCCGGCCGGAGGGCACCCAGTGCTTGGAAGAGGTAGCAGAGAGCTGGGAGCTCCAACCCGAGGCCAGGGAAGATGAGAACAGACCCAGAGCAGACGTACTTACTCTCCACCCTCCGGGGCCCGCCGGCTGGATGGTGTGCCGGCAGGACGCCACTCACCGGCCTAACACACAGACCTCTGCAAACATCAGTGGCAGGCGGGAGAGGCGGCCTGACCCAACCGTGTCCAATCATTCGGTGGTGTATTTTAACCAGCCTGAAAAATTCCACCTGTGTAATTTGATGTACATTTGCTACAGCCAGCCCGGCACAGCCCATGTGACCTCTTTGTACGTGTGTGTGTCGTGACCGGCCTAAGTAGTTAGCGTAACTCCAGATTCGCTGATGTGCAGTCATCCATTGGAGACAATAAAACTGGAAACCACCTACACAGTATTTTTAAAGTTTTTACTTTATTCTTGACTACAGAAGTAACTTACCCATGTACATAGTTAATCATTTACAAAGTACCAAAAGTATAAAAAAGTGGGGTTTTTTTGTTTTTTTAAACTCCCAATATTTCTCCACCTACTCTGACATTTTGGCATATGTCCTCTCTGTCTTTTTTTATGCATTTTTTTTTTCATGATTGTCATTCTGTTGTATCATTCTATAACAGTTTTCTTTTTCCACCTATCATAGGATCACTATCGTTCTGCCACGTCATTAAAAGCTCTTTGTAAACATTAAACACTTCATGAATATTTACAATGGCTGCTTAGTAATCCATCTTGTGGATATACTGTAATTTATCTAACCAGACCCTCTGTATTAAACATTTAAGCTGTTTCTAGTTTTTCAGTTTTATAAGTAATGTCAGGATAAACATCCTGGGGGGTGGAGGTGGGGTGGTGGGGGGAGGGTGTTGGGTAAAGCTTCATCTGAATTTCTGAGTTTTCCTTAGCGCAGACTCCTAGAAGTAAGGTTCTAATTTACATGGGTCACATTTTTTCAAAATATTTGTAAATCAAAGAAAGGAAAAAAAGTGAAGGTCTTTCTAGTCACAGCTGCTTTGGAATTGACACGAAATGTCTTTGCGTGTGATGGCCCCTCGCGGTGGGAGCATGCTCCCAGCCCCTCCCAGTCTGTCACGATGTGCTTCTTCAGTCTAGGCTTCAGCCCGCTCACCACTTCCTGTCTATTCTGAAGATGGAGAGGCTCCCTCAGGTTGCTGCCATTTCCATCACCTGGCCTCAGGGGACACCGCCCTAGGCCAAGCACGAAGCCCACCTTCCTAGGGCTGCCGTAATGTATTCCTCAACCAGCGGGGTTTAAACAACAGAAAGTGATAGCCTCACAGTTCTGGAGGCCAGGAGCCAGTGTCCTCAGGACTGTGCTCTCTCTGAAGGCTCTTGGGAAGAATGCTTCCTTGCCTCTTCCAGCTCCTGGTGGCCCCTGGTAATCCCTGACTTTATCACTCCAATCTTTACCTCTTCTATAGCCTCCTCTGTCTGTGTCTCTGGACCTGTCTTTTTGTGAGGACACCAGTCATTGGATTTAGGGACCTTCCCAGGGGGCGCTAGTGTTAAAGAACATGCCTGCCAGTGCAGGAGACGTAAGAGACACAGGTTCGATCCCTGGGTAGGGAAGATCTGCTGGAGAAAGGCATGGCAATCCACTCTAGTATTCTTGCCTGGAGAATCCCATGGACAGAGGAGAATGGCAGGCCACAGTCCATGGTGGCATAGAGTCGGACATGACTGAGTGAGCATGCACACAGTTACATTAGAGGTGCACAGAGAGTGGATAGCTCAACCGTATGCCTGTATGACACTAAATCTGGGATGATCGCATCACAATCCTTACCTTAACAACTTCTTATAAGACCCTGTTTCCAAATAAGTTCAGATTCTGAGATGGCAAGTGGCCATGAATTTGGGGCAGGGATGATGCTGAAAACTCGGCCTCTGGGCAGTGGTGTTGAATCAAATCTCAGAGCAGAGTTTTGGGTGCCATAGAAAAGAATAGCTTTATTGCTTTGCCAGGCAAAGGGGGACACAGTGGGCTCCTGCCTTCAAAAATTGTGTTTTATAGCACTGGTTCAAGGACAGGGCTACTGATGAGATTAGGGTGTGTGCAGGGCCTACACTCTTAATCTCAGGTAATCTCCTGATGAGCTGCTCTGGTTCCTTTAACCTGGCCTCAGGTGGTCTTCTCTGGAATGAAGAATGCTAACATCTTCCATTTTGGAGTTTTAGTTCTGAGAAGAGCTCAAAGATACTGTTAGGTGTACCCCTTGTGTACCCCAGAACCAGGACCTGCCCCCAAGGCTGTGTTATTGTTTCAGGGCTGCTCTCCTCTTGTCTCTGCGTTCCCCCTTTCCCTGGTTAGCAACAGTTCCAGTCTGCCCTTTGGAATTCAGGGAAGGTCATGGAAGCTGGGATCTATTCCCTACAAACAAGAAATGGGACAGAAAGGCTTCCAGGCCCAGGAGGCCCAGGCCCTGCTCGGTTTCAGGGGGACACTATTTAACCCACAGGTGCTTCCCACTCCTGCAATAAACACTCAGGCTGAAAAGGGTCTGCCTTTCTCCCTTCCGGGTAGAAAATGTGTGTCTGGAAGGCCTGACCTCAGACCAATTAGACAGCAGTCACTCACCATTCCAACAAGCTAAAAAAAGATCGAAACCCTCATAAAAATCCTGCTTCTACTACACCCGCTGAGCTCTGGGGTACATCTAACTTATGGTCCTGTCATTGCTATTGATTTTTTTTTAAGCAAAAAAAAAAAAAAAACCATATCATTTATTGAGGTTTTCACAGAAGAGCAGAAGAAAGTAATTGTTCGATATGCTCCCAGATTCCCAGGGCTGCCTGCAAAGCTGGGAAAATTTGCAGATCTCAGGGTCCCATACCCCAGACTCGCTCCTTTTGGGGGTCAGTTGAGGAAAGGGGACAATGATAGCTGGAGACACATTTATTGAAAGTCTGTTGCTGTGCACTGAACACGTATGCATATTTTCTCACTTGCCTTTTACATCAACACCATGAGGCAGATACTATTATTGGTAAAGTAAGTCTTCATATGTACTTCACTGGTACATATAAATAAGTTCAGTTCCAAGAGCGTGCTCATAAGTCCAACTTTTTGTAAGTCCAACAAAGTAAACCTACGTACCCAACTAACAAAATTGGCTATCATTCTATGTTTGGGTCCTGTACCGCAAATAAAATCTTGCCATTTCCTGCATCATGAATCTCTTTGGTTCTTCAGTTACTTCCTTTTCCTCTTGTCTCTCTTTGTCCTTTCTCTCGGCCTCCAGTTCCATAGGTCTTCATTAGTAGGCTCCGCATTCACATTCACATTCTTTGAAAGTTCACAACTTGAACTTTTGTATGCAGGTGACTTAACTGTATCTGAAAACTGGGTTCTCTTCTTGGTGGGCGTGGAGTCAATAGATACAACCAACAACGAAAAGATCAGGAGAAGGAAAGATTTATTACTTACAACAGGCTGCCTGCTGTTAAAATGCTGCACTTAATATGTCAGTGAATTTGGAAAATTCAGCAGTGGTCACAGGACTGGAAAAGGTCATTTTTTCATTCCAATCCCAAAGAAAGGCAATGCCAAAGAATGCTCAAACTACCATACAATTGTGCTCATTCACCTGCTAATAAGGTAATGCTCAAACTCCTTCAAGCTAGGCTTCAGCAGTACCTGAACCAAGAACTTCCAGATGTACAAGCTGGATTTAGAAAAGGCAGATGAACCAGAGATCAAATTGCCAACATCCATTGGATCATAGAAAAAGCAAGAGAATTCCAGAAAAACATCTGCTTCATTGACTATGCTAAAACCTTTGTGTGGATACAACAAACTGTGGAAAATTCTGAAAGAGATGGGAATACCAGACCACCTTACCTTGTCTCCTGAGAAACCTGTATGCAGGTCAAGACTTAGCAACAGTTAGAACTGGACATGGAGCAACAGACTGGTTCAGAACTGGAAAAGGAGTAAGTCAAGGCTGTATACTGTCACCCTGCTTATTTAACTCCTATGCAGAGTACATCATGTGAAATGCTGGGCTGGATGAATCAAAAGCTGGAACCAAGATGGCCAGGAGAAATATTAACGACCTCAGATATGCAGATGACACCACTTCAATGGCAGAAAGTGAAGAGGAACTTAAGAGCCTCTTGATGAGGGTGAAAGAAGAGAGTGGAAAAGCTGGCTTAAAAGCATTCAAAAAACTAAAATCATGGCATCCGGTCCCATCACTTCATTGCAAATAGAAGGGGAAACTGTGGAAATAGTGACAGATTTTGTTTTCTTGGGCTCCAAAACCACTGCTGACAGTGACTACAGCCATGAAATTAAAAAATGCTTGCTCACTGGAAGAAACGCCATGACAAACCTAGACAGTGTATTAAAAAGCAGAGACATCCCTTTGCCAACAAAAGTCTATACAGTCAAAGATATGGTTTTGTTTTTTCCAGCAGTTATGTGCAGATATGAGAATTTGATCTTCAAGAAGGCTGAGTGCTGAAGAATTGATGCTTTCAAATTGTGATGCTGGAGAAGACTGTTGAGAATCCCTTGGACCGCAAGGAGATCAAACCAGTCAATTCTAAGTGAAATTCACCCTGAATATTCATTGGAAGGACTGATGCTAAAGCTGAAGCTCCAATAGTTTGACCACCTGATGTGAGAAGCCGACTTATTGGAAAAGACCCTGATGCTGGCAGGAGGAGAAGGGGTGAGAGAGGATGAGATGGTTGGATGGCATCACCAACTCAATTGACATGAATTTGAGTAAACTCCTGGAGATGGTGAAGGACAAGGAAGCCTGGTGTGCTGAAGTCCATGGGGTCACAAAGAATCAGACACAACTTATTGACTGAACAACAACACAGAACACTGGGGATATTTCCCAAAGCAGTGCCTTCCCAGCAGCCAAACTGGGGAGGTTTAAAGCTAAGGGTACATGCATATTTATGAAGGGGTTTTAGAAGACTTCACCATAGAATTGTGGCCAAGATCAACAGAGTCCAAGCCTTAGCTGATGAAATCTGAAATTATAATCAACCTCATAATTCCATCCTCCACCTGGGTGAGGGCCTTAGTTCCTGCAGAACTCAGGGACCATATCAGATTATGCACATCCCTTGAGGAGGAACTAGGATTCTGCTTTATCACTGCACCATTGTTTGATTGCCTTTTCTCTGTTCTATCTTCTGTCCCCTTAAAAGCATTGATTCCTGGGACCTGTTCACGGGTAAGCATTGTGGCCAGGCTTAGATCACAAAATGGCTTAAGCCAAAATGAGCTCTCCTATGTTAAGAAAGCCATGCCTGGTTCTCTTTCTCCAAGGAGCCCCTACCCTATCTGCTTTTGTTATTCCGCTCTGTAGATGAGGAAGTGGTCCTTGGTGCCATGACCAGTTAATGGCTGGCTGGTCATTCATCCCCTCATCCCTTCTTGTAGCCTCAATCATCCTTTCTCTCCCCATCAGCATTTAAGCAAATCTCTCCCGTTAACAAACAAAAAACCCTCTCTTCCATCTTTCCTGGCAGTTCACACGTTTCTCTACACCTTCACAGCCCTGACTTGTTGAGAACTGTCATCTTGCTGTCCCTGCTTTCCTCATCTCCAGCTCCCTCCTCAAACTGTTCTCATCTGGCTTCTGTCACTCTTGTCACTGACCCCTCTTGCTGAAATGCAACCATTTAGGGAGAGAAACATCTACCTTTAATCTTTTATTTCTCTATCTGTCATCTGTCTATCTACCGTCTATATCTAATCTTTTGACTGTGCCACGAGGATCCAACCAGGGGCTGAACCATCAATTTTCCAACCAGCGGCTGAACCATCAATTTTCCAACCAGGGATCGAACCCATGGCCCCTGCATTGGACTGTGGAGTCCAAACCACTGAACCATCAGGGAAGTCCCATTCCTTTAACCCTTTTAGGTTCTGCAATGGGGACCCTGTCAGTGAGACTGGTCAAAAACAGATTAACAAGAGAAAAACAAGAGAAGTTTATTAACATGTGCATCGTGCATAACCCAGCAATGAGTAGTGCCAAGAGGTGGTTAGAACGTGGGTTTATGTACCATCTTAGGCTAAAACTTAAACCTTAAGCTAAAATAGGGAAGCCTGGCAGACTGCAATTCATGGGGTCACCAAGAGTTGGACACGGCTTAGAAACTGAACAACAACAACAAGGTTAAAACCAAAGGAATGGGGTTTGGGGCTTCTGGGCAGAGGAGACAAGTTATGGGAAGATGACCAGGAAAAGTATGGTAAACAAGGGTTGTTTATTATGCAGACTGAAGTCCTGCCTTCTCCCTGGAAATCCGCCTCTTCTTGGGCTGGAAGAGGAAGACACCTTTCACAAACGGGAATTTCCTTATAAATGGAGGGCTTCCCTGGTGGCTCAGCTGGTAAAGAATCTGCCTGCCATGTGGGAGACCTGGGTTCGATCCCTGGGTTGGGAAGATCCTCTGGAGAAGGGAATGGCTACCCACTCCAGTATTCTGGCCTGGAGAATTCCATGGACTGTATAGTCCATGGGGTCACAAAGAGTCAGACACGACTGAATGACTTTCACTTTCACTTTATAAATGGAGATTTGTTTTATAAAATGAAAATTTTTACCTTGTGTTTAGAGCTTTTCGTGCATCTGCTGTTTCTCAATAGCCTTTAGCTTGAAATAATCCTTACGCTGAAGGGGTGTGTTTTGGGTGGCATATTCTGACACCCCTCCTCTGAATCCAACTGGCATGTCAGTCCTCCTGCCAGCTGTCTGCCTGACTTGACTGCCAACACACCCCACTGTCTAGGTGTACCTCCCACCTCTCTCTAGTCTGCTTTATCATTTCCTGTCCTCAGGGCCTGGCCCTCAGCATTCTCTCCCCACCCACAGCCTCAGCCACCTGCTCTTAGATGGCGCCCTGGCCACTTCTAAGTTCTCTTATGCACCTAGACGTTTCTCCTACACTCAGACCCCTTCTTCTTGAGGGTCTTCATTCAGATCTGGAGCAGGCACACCGAAAAAGACATGTCCTAAACAAGGATGGCAAACCAGCCCACCAACTGTTTTTGTAAATTAAGTTGTATTGGAACATAACCAAATGCTTTTGTGTATCGTCTACGGCTGCTTTTGTGCTGCAGCAGTGAAGTCTTAAGTGGTTTTGGCAAGAGAAAGAAATTTTAAAAATGAGAGAAAAAAAGAAATTAAAAAAAAAGAAAAAAATTTAAAAAGAGGAAAAAAAGAAAGAGAAAGAAAAAGAGAAAGCCATAAAGAAAGCTGAGTGCTGAAGAATTGATGCTTTTGAACTGTGGTGTTGGAGAAGACTCTTGAAACTCCCTTGGACTGCAAGGAGATCAAACCAGTCAATCCTAAAGGAAATCAGTCCTGAATATTCATTGGAAGGACTGATGCTGAAGCTGAAGCTCCAATACTTTGGCTGCCCGATGTGAAGAACTGACTCATTGGAAAAGACCCTAATGCTGGGAGGGATTGAAGGCAGGAGGGGAAGGGGACAACAGAGGGTGAGATGGTTGGATGGCAACACCAACTCAATGGACCTGAGTTTGAGCAAGCTCCGGGAGTTGGTGATGGACGGGGGCCTGGCATGCTGCAGCCCATGGGGTCGCAAAGAATCGGATACGACTGAGCGAATGAACTGAACTGAACTGTGGCAAGAGATCAAATGGCCTGCAAATCCTAAAACATTTGCTCTCTGGTCATTTAAGAAAATGTCAGCCAACCCCCATCCTAAAGTGCCTCAGATTCCTCTGTTTCTCCATCTCAGAAAAGGGCACCACCAAATAGCCAAGATTATCCTAGAACTTGTCCTTGACTCTTCTCTTCCTCCTCACATCCACGCAATTGTCTTTAGCTTGTTGTTGAGTCGCTAAGTCATCTCTGACTCTTTTACGACCCCAGGGACTGTAACCCACCAGGCTCCTCTGTCCATGGGATTCTTCAGGAAAGAATACTGGAGTGGGTTGCTATTTCCTTCTCCAAGGGATCGTCCCAACTCAGGGATCGAACCCAGATCTCCTGCATTGCAGGCAGATTCTTTTTTCTTTGAGCCACCAGGGAAGCCCCAAGTCTTTAACTTCAACCTCCTAAACTTCTCTAGAATCTGTCCACACCCCCATCTTCCCACCACCCAGTGTTGCCACTTCAGCTTTTCTGCAGTGGTTTCGTAACTAGCCTCCTTATCACTGGCCGGTCTCCACACAGTGGCCAGGTGATTTTCTGAATAACGCACACCTAATTGTCATTTCCCTCTTTAAAACCATTTCCAAGGCCTTGAGGACAACATCCATGTCCTTTCACATGGTTTCGAAGGCCCAATCAGATCTGGCCCCTTCCCATCCCTCACCTCATCCCACCTGCTTGCTGGGACCCCTCTTTGACCTGGGGCTGCAGAAAGATCCTTTGGTGTTTTTGGTTCTTGTGCCAAGAACTTCTCAGATCTACCAGCCTTTCTCTGGTCTACCTGTGCGCCACTCTCTGAAGTCAAAATGATCTCAAAAAGAAAATCTAACCAGGTGTGCTGCTTCCAAGTTTCCCACGCCTTCCCCTCCATCCTCACAATCTCAGGGCTTGGCCCTGGATTTCAAAGCCTCACTCCATCCAGCCCCTGCATGTCTCTCCCACCTTCCTTCTCACCGCTCCTCCAGCTTCAGACCCTTGCTCACACCAGCATTTAAGGGAACAAATGGAGTAGGAGCATCGGGAAACACTAGGCAGTGTCCAGGAGGGCATGGGACACAGCATCCAGCTTGACCCAGAGGTTGTGAGACCTTAAGAACTTTGTGAAAAGGACCCACAGGACTTTGCAACAGCATGGGATTGCTGTGAGCATTTTAGCAAGGTGCTGGCGTGGAAGCCCAACGCATCAGGCAGGGGAATGCTCCCTTACAGTCTTTCTCATCAGACGGAGGGCTCATCACCTGTATTTGGCAGATGGGGAACTGAGGCTCAGAGAGGGGAAGTGACTAGCCCAAGGTCACACAGCATGTAGGTGTAGAACCTGGGCATGAGTCTGAGAGCCGGATGAGACTCAAGTATGGGATGTTTCTTTCTCATTTCTAATCCCAGCATGACCATCACTCCATTCCCTGTTGAGCTGTACTCAATTAGAGGTGACTCATGGCCATGCCAGCAGCCGCTGAGCCCCTTACGAACCTTTCCATTCCGTGCTGGCTGGACAGCCCTGGGCTGCAGGGGCTCAATGACTGTGCTCATCTGCAGCTCGAGAAGAAGCAGTTAGAACATGCCCAAGGCCACCTGCCGAGACCCAGGACCACTGAGTGGGCACCAGGGGCTGGGGTGAGACACTCAGGAAAGCTGGTTTGAGGAGCAAATGTCCTGTCACTTCTCCGTTCATGCGTTTGTGAATTCCACTTGTGAATGCAATCCTTGGCAGGTACCAGGGAACACAGCGATGAATAGGAGGAGTCCTGTCTTCAGGTACCTGACGTTTTAGGGAGGGAGACTGGTGTCTAACAGGAGGGTGGAAGAGGCCCCCTATCCGAGGTTAAATCTGAACAAAACCCACTGCCCAGCAGGATTAACCGCAGGGAAGAGAAGCTAGACGCTGGCGGAGGGCTCCAGCCTGCCAGGGTTAAGATCCCCACTCAACACTCCTTGTGTGAGCTGGGGTGGTTCCTTCACCTCTCTGGGCCTCAGTGTCCAGATCTGTGAAATGGAGAGAACCATGGGGTGTTAAACGAGACGGTTCATGGGAAGGGGCTGGAGCAAACCCTGCAGTGAAGTGGATGAGTGTTGCCCACATCTGCACGTAGGGAGCAAGCCCAACCTGGGGCCTGCCCTCATGGAGCTGACGGTGAGCAGAGCCAGGGACACATTGCAAGGTGACAAGAGCTGCTGTAACCTAAGTGTCCACCGAACTCGGTTCCACGTGCTTCCCCAGTGTCCACACTGTCCCGGGCATGCACTCACACCCAGCCCTGACTGCCTCCCCCCTACTCTACACACCCCCTTACGCCCTCCCCACACCTGTCCCCTCCCTCTAGTTCTGCCAGCTCCATGTGGAATCAGCCCCGGAAAGTGATGCTGAATCGAATCCCAGAGGTTTGGGTGAAGTAGAAAAGAATAACCTTATTGCTTTGCCAGGCAATGGGGGACACAGTGGGCTCGTGCCTTTCAAAATTGTGTGTCCCAACCCAGGAGGAGTCTTATAGCAATAGTTCAAGGGTGGGGTTGCTGACAAGATTTATGTGTGCGCAGGTCTCCTCCTTTCAAATTTTGGTGCTGGAGAAGACTCTTGGGAGTCCTTTGGACAGCAAGGAGATCTAATCAGTCAATCCTAAAGGAAATCAACCCTGAATATTTATTGGAAGGACTGATGCTTAAGCTCCAATACTTTG